TCCCCAGCATGATGGTGTTGGAATCACTTTAAAAGAATCTAGGAAACAGACGGGCCTTGTCCAAATGAAGGCTTGACTGTTCTCATTCCCTAGTCTGGGAATGAACTCCAAGGCTCCAAGGAACAAAAGAATAGACCCTTTTCCAGGGAGAGAGTCCTCTGCGAATGTCTCTGCCTTGAAAAAAAAAAAAAAAAAAAAGCCATACATGAGATATTAAAGGCTCTTCATATCGTCAAAGAAAAAGAAAATATGGCAGCCACATAGGACCACAAGACTAAAATCTGAGTGAGCGAGGAAGTCAGCCAGCTCCATGATCACCAGGACATCTAGGAATTGATCTCTAGTCCAATTTACCAGCCTAAGAAACATGCAACTGGGAAAACTAGGAAAGAGCCTTCCTCTGGACATCTTTATGTTGTGACAAGTCTCTTGGGCCAACTCAGATGAGGTCATTCATAAGCAGTCCTTGGCCCTAGACCTTGTTTAATTCCATGGCTCCATAGGTCTTCTTTCATAAACTGCTCTTTCTGTGTCTACCCATTCCCCAGTCAGAAGCCTTTAACACCTAACCCAGATCAAGTACTCTACTCAGACCCTTCCTACGGCTACCTGTTAGCCTCAGAGTAAAGGCCAAAGCTCCTACACTGGCCCACAGACCCCATGTCACCTCCCTGACCTTGTGTCCTACTCCTCTCCTGTGGCTCTTAACTCCTGGCTGCACCTCAGCCCTGGCTTTTCCCTCTGATGAGAACCTTCTCTCATATATCTACATGGCTAACTGCTTCATTTCCTTTAAACTTTGTTTAAATTTCACTTTCTTAGCAAGGCCTCCCTGAACACCTATTTATAATTGCAACCTGACCCCACTGTACTTCCAATCTCCTTTACCTTCCTCTGCTTTTTTTTCTTTTTCCATAGCACTTATCATCTATAAGTGATACACTATAAAACTTACTTATTCATCTAATCATTTGCTGTTTCCCTTCAGTAGAATATAAGTATCACAAGGGCAGTCTGTCTTTATGCATTTTGTTTATTGACATATCCTAAGAATCCAGAGCAGTGGGAAGTTCTCAACAATTTTTGTTTATTTTGTTTTGTTTTGTTTTGAGATGGAGTCTAGCTCTTGTTGTCCAGGCTGGAGTGCAATGGTACAATCTCAGCTCACTGCAACCTCCGCCTCTGAGATTCAAGTGATTCTCCTGCCTCAGCCTCCCGAGTAGCTGTTATTACAGGCATGTGCCACCATGCCTGGCTAATTTTTTTATTTTTAGTAGAGACGAGGTTTCACCATGTGAGTCAGGCTGGTCTTGAACTCCTGACCTCAAGTGATCCTCCCATCTTGGCCTCCCAAAGTGCTGGGATTACAGGTGTGAGCCACCATGCCTGGCCTATTTTTTAATACATGAAAGAAGTTCTATAATGTCTATCATCATTTTTAGTCCTGTCATTACTTTCCCAGGCAAACATATATCACCCGGTGCTAGGAACATCCCAGTAGCATCACACATTATCTCTACGGCATGCACACCTTTCTCAGTCCCATTCAGCCGAGCCTCTTTCTATGTCTTCTTTAACAAATCCTCTAGATACTTACTGCTATGGTTTGAATGTTTTTGTCCCTCCAAAATTCGTGTTGAAATGGAGTTTCCAGTGCAATGGGAATAAGAGGTGGGGCCTTCAGGAGATTATTAAGTCATGAGAGTTCTGCCCTCATGAATGGGATTAGTGACTTACAAAAGGCACGAAAGTGGCTTTTTTTTTTTTTTTTTTGCCACTTCTGCCATGTGAGGACACAACTTTCATCCTCTCTGCAGGATGGAGAGACAAGATGCTATCTTGGAAGCAGAGGACAAGCCCTTACCAGACACCAAATCTAGCAGCGCCTTGATCTTAGACTTCTCAGTCTCCAGAACTGAGCGATATGCATTTGTATTACATATAAGTGACCCTGTCTGAGATATTTTGTTGTAGCAGCAGGAATGGATGAAGATGCTTGCCAACCAAAGTCAGTAATATGAAAACCTATGACAAATGCTACAAATAGTTTATGAGGGAATGCTCTACATGTCTCAGAGGTACAGCTCTTCTACTATGGAATATTTATTTATAAACCTGCAGGTAATGGAGAATCATTGTAAGCTCTTTAGTAAGAGAGAGGTGTGATAAAATGATGTATTTATTCTTTTCAATTCTTCAAGGCAGTTTTCTCAGAATCAATTTAGGTGGTCATAAAACAAACCAGTTGGTTTACATTATCTCAGATATTGCAGGAATGACTTCAATGAATTACAATTTGATTGTAAACATGAAGCACTTTTGCAAAGACTTTACAATGATCATCCATCTGAATAGCCTCTTCACGTCTTTCACAATGTTTACAACTTCTTCGTCTGGTCACTAATGAACTATAAAATGGCCTACATGATTTTTCCTACCTTAAAAAACGTACATTTTTTTTTCTTCTGCAAAGGAACGATTTAGCATTTTTTTTGATCAGGAAATGGCAACAATATAATCTATTTCTTTTATGCTTTAAGTGTCAGAAAAACATAATTCAGTGCCCTATTATGGTATTGAACTTACTGCCTATATCTTGTAACATTCATTCTGCTGCTTCATTTGTGGGTTCTGTCTCCTTTTTGTTATTAATTTAGTGGCCTCCCAAAGTTTTAAAAGTGGATGGGGTTTAGACAACTTTTTTTGGCAAAATTCTCAATCTTAATCACAGGATGTTTTACAATCTGCCCCCAGAGCATCTTTTGGGGGTTAGGTTGGCTAAATCCTTATACATACTTGGTTCCTGGGCTGCTTTTAAACCAGCTAAATGAACTCATTCTGGAAACTCGTCTCACACTTTTCAGCCTCTGTGCCTTTATGCATGCTCTTCCCCCAACTGGAAACATTCTCTAACTCTTCTCCAGAGGAGGCGCATTCATATATCAAGCACAAATTTTTGAAAAAAAAAAACAAAAACTAACCTTCTTACTGTAAAATAATTTTAGATTTATAGAACATTTACAAAGATTATTCTTATATATCCTGTGCTCAGCTTCCCTCTAATATTAATATCTTACATAACATATTACATTAATCAAAACTAAGAAAATAGAATAGAGAGCCCAAAATTAAATCCCTAGTTACAGGGAAATTTGTTATGCCCTATGTCAGTAATCTTAAGAAGCACCTTTGTTTTATCTTTGAAATACAAATCCATCTATAATTTTTTTAAAAAACCGAGAAAATAGCAACAGATCAATACCATCAACTAAACTACTTTATTAATATTTCTCCAGTTTTTCTACTACTGTCCTATTCCAGAATATCAGATTGTATCAATCACCATGTGTCCCCAGTCTCCCCCATCTGGACAGTGTCTTGGTCTTTTCTTGTCTCTCATAACTTTGACCCTTTTGAAAAGTAGTGGTCAGGTATTTTGTACAATGTACTTCAATCTAGAAGTACCATGACTGATGTTCTCATGTTTCGCCTGAAGTTATGGATTGAGGGGGAAGAATGCCACCTAGGCAAAGGCCTTTCTCATAGCATCATTCAGCATCACATTAATATGACTCCTTGCTGGTGGTGTTAACCTTGATCTCTTGGTTAAGATGGTGTCTGTCAGTTTGTTACTGTGTTTTCTTCCCTATACTGTGTTCAGAGAAGCATGACACTAAGTCTAGCTTATACTCAAGGGAAGGAACGTTAATTTTTACCACCTGGAGGGAGGAGTATTGAAGGATTTGTGGACATATGTTAAAACAACACAGTAATTAATAAATATTGGGGAGGAGATCCTTTGAGGCTACCAGGCATTATTTTAACTCTGAATCAAGTCCTTCTTCCTCCAGGCAGATATTCTAACAATAAAGATTTCCATCCTCTGATTTTCTCACACACAGTTTGTGTAATATATCCACAAATCTCTATCTTTGTTCATTCATCATGACCTACCTGGCAATCCATTCCCTTTTATGTCATACTTAAATGACTACACCCAGAATTTTTAGGTAAATGCTTCCCCTCACTAATTAGGACACATCAAACCTGACTGTTAACCTCTCATTTCACAATTAATCACGTTTATCATGTGCGTGCGTGTGTCCTTGCACGCACTTGTGTGTGTGTATAGTTATTCAGATCTTGCATTCTATTTAAGTGTAAGAGTTGTCATGTATGTCGGCGTCAGCTAGACTTGCATTTGAAACTCAGACCTGCTAAATATACCTATGAGATATATTGAACAAGTCATTTTTGTATTTTTAAACCTAGATTTGTCATACCTACAGATCGAGACTGTTGTGAGGATTAAGTTAATTGATAGAGGCAAAGCTCCAGGATGAGTGCCCAGCACGCAGAGGGAGCATATTAACTGTGGTTTCTTTACCGTGACCAACCACACTTCTATTCACAAACCTTGACCTGTCAATGTTTTCATTTATCTCCTGGAGCTATTGGCTTCCACTCTATAGTTTGTGGGGGCCTTAAGTGGTACTTGAGGAAAACAGATGGATGGGTCCCCAGGGCCATCTATATTTGCATCTTTCCTAATAGTCTGCTTTGATATATTCTATATATTATTTTTAGCTTAAGATTTTAGTTTGAAAAATGAGTTCTAAAACTTAATTTTTAAGAAATTTACACTATGCATTTCTTCAGGTGAGAGATAATTTCTTATACTTTTTTGTCATTCCCCAGTGCAGACCGTAAGATTGTATATGAAATTGATGTCCAATAAATGCCCAACTAGTGATGGAACTAAAAGCTCCCTGTGGCTCTTAGTCTTGCAGCAGAATCTGAGGCCTTTTTTCCACTTATTGTGGTTATTCCAAATGACACATGACTTGCCCCCAAATGGCCATCTACTCTTCTTATAAAAAACCAAGACTATAAATTGCTTTCTCAGAGACCCAAAAAATATGGGGCTCTTGGAATGGATTAAAATATGTTATTGACTTTCTGAGTATATTCTAATGGACGAGAAGTTGCTCTTGAAATCCTTTGAAAGTTTATCAAGGTTCATAACAATTCTTGTATTTCTCTGAAGAGTTGGAGATTGTATTTACACACACACTCATGCAAGTGCAGTGAGAAACATTCAAAAGTTTAAATACCAACTTTTAGTAGTATTTTTCAGTGGTAGAATTATGCATGCTTCTCATTTTTTCCTTTTTGTATATCTGCATTTCATAGACTTGTTATAAAATTTAATAAAATGTATTTTACTGAGAAACTGTATGCAAAAAAAAAGAGAGAGACGGAGAAAATCAAGGTGGGAGAGAGGAAAAAAGTGAGAGAGAGAGAGAGAGAGAGAGAAAGAGAATGAAAAGGAGTAAATATTAAAACCTGCATTCAAATTTCTTAATAGATTTTCTCTGCAGTCATTCCTGAATTGCTGTTACCCAAAGCGCTTTGTGCTTCCATTTTCTGGTGTCAATGCCATCTGTGGCTTCTCTGTATCTGTGGTAGAAAGGCATGGTAAGTCAATGTCCATAGCATCCCTCAGGGATTACAAAAGCCATCATCCAAAGGCCCTTACGTTCTTAACAAACATGCCCCTGAAAAGGAGCAAAACTGAAGCCCGAGGCTATTGCATATTCTTATATTTTAGACATTATCATTTTTAAGACAATGGAGTCATAGAACTCTGCACAGAGATTCAGAGAAGACAATATCTGTTCTACTCTTCACCCTAACACACCTGAAGTTCAGAGAGGGGATGTGATTTACCCAAAATGATCCACCTCTTCCTTTGAGAGCTCCTTCTCCACCTTTTCTTGACTTTCTTGCTCAATGGCAACAGCTCTGTAGTCTCAGTTTTCTTGTTAGTCAGTTTTTAGAAGCTGTGTTTGTACTACATTATCCAGATAAATAGGACCAAAAGCAAGAATATCTTGGAAACAAAGCTGCATCTCATTTCTACTGCCATAGCTACTTTGCTTAATGATCTAAATACACCATCACTTTGGTCAGGGTATTGTTTATTTAAGGAAGAGAGTGTTATTGAAAAGAAGTGTGTGTTATTGAAAAGAAGTGAGCACCATCCATGCAGGGAAACATTGCTCTTAACACACTACCAGTGGAGATGTCAGGGGATGGAGAGAAACGGAGTAGTAGAGTGCCAGATAGCAAGTTAGGAGAAATCAAGAGACTTTTCATATTTAAGACACAGAAAGAAAAATGTGTAATCTCCAATCTGCTCAGTTCACCCAGGCTATCAAGAGCAGGCCAAAGCGAAGGGGTCAGCCATTGGGCTTTGTCCTTTTGAAACAAATACCAGCTGCATTATTTTAACAGTCCAGGCCTAGGCTGCCAGACTTACACTGATTTTTATTAACTGAAGCTTGTTGGTTTCCTATAGTTGCTATAACAAATTACCATGAACTGGATGGCTTAAGACAATGGAAATTTATTCTCTCACAGTTTTGATGGCTAGGAATCCAAAATCAAGGTGTGGGGAGGGTTGATTTCTTCTGAGGGCACTGAGAAAGAACCTGTTCCATGCCCCTCTCCCAGCTTCTGGCTGTTGCCAGCAATCCTTGGTATTCTTTGGCTTGTAGACGGATCATGCCAACCTCTGTCTCTGTCATCACATGGTTCTCCTCATGTCTATATGTCTGTGTCTCTGTCTCTGTCACCACATGGTTCTCCTCATGTCTGTATGTCTGTGCCTCTCTTCTTATTCTTTTTGTTGTTGTTGTTTTGTTTTGTTTTGAGACAAAGTCTTACTCTGTCGCCCAGGCTGGAGTGCAGTGGCACGATCTCTGCTCACCACAACCTCCGCCTCCTGGGTTCAAGTGATTCTCCTGTGTCAGCCTCCTGAGTACCTGGGGTTACAGGTGCACACCACTACACCTGGCTAATTTTTTGTATTTTTAGTACAGACGGGGTTTCACCATGTTGGCCAGGCTTGTCTTGACCTCCTGACCTCAGGTAATCTGCCCGCCTCAGCCTCCCAAAGTGCTAGGATTACAGGTATGAGCTGCTGCACCCAGCCCTTTTCTTCTTGTAATAAGGACACCATTCATGTTGGATTAAGGGCTCACCCTACACCAGTATCACCTCATATTATTACTTATATTTGCAATTACCCTATTTCCCAGCAAGGTCACCTCCTGAGGTCCTGAAGGTTAGGACTTCAACATATTTTCTTGGGGGACAAAATTCAGCCCATAACAGGGAGCAATGGGCTTAACTGAGCAACGGGCTTGCTTCCTTAATTGAGAAGAGGGTTGGTTGTGTCCAGTTGGAATGATCAAACAAGGCACTTTTGACATTGATTTGTGAGTCAGTGCTCCATGAGAAGTAAGGAAAGGGCAGTAAAGGGAATGCTCAGGGCATTTAAGAGAAAGTGAGGATAAATCCACAGTGGCTGAGCTGTGAGTTTGGGCAAAGCTAATGGTGGGAGCAGGTGAGCCACCTCCAGCAGTAGTTCCTGAGGCTCAGACACACCTCAAGAGGAGAGTTGGTTGCTGGAAGACCAAGTAGGCCCATGGAAGGGAGGAACTTCATCTGTGGAAATATTTAAATGGTTGGGATCAGCTGCCCTCAAGATTGATAACTCTCGCCTATGCCTGCCTGTTTGCCATTATCTTTTGAGAATTCTTGCAAATATATATGAAAGCCGCCCTGCTACCCTTCTTCTGTGACTCATTAGCGCAAGGGTTGCAAATGAAAAGACCTGCAGGAGCCAGGAAATAAGAGAAATGAGTGAAGGGAGGTGGGTATAGAATTCTGAAAGTCCATAGATTTTTAGTAATTTAATTGGTACTGGGCCTCAGTGCTAGGGAGGATTAAGGGAGTGTTAGAGATTGTATCAAACTAAAGAGCATATGCCGGCCGGTCGTGGTGGCAGGCGCCTGTAGTCCCAGCTACTCGGGAGGCTGAGGCAGGAGAATGGCATGAACCTGGGAGGTTGACCTTGCAGTGAGTGGAGATCGCACCACTGCACTACAACCTGGGCAACAGAGCGAGACTCCATCTCAAAAAAAAAAAAAACAAAAAACAGAGCATATGCCCTGCCTGCAGAAAGAGCTACTTGGCTAGAACTGCCATGGGTAACGGTGCACGAGGGCTTTGGCTATGGAGTCAAAAAAGCAAGTGAAATTCAACTTCCTCTCTTCTCACCAAGCTGTGACCCCACTGGCCTCCCTCAGCCCAGTGGGGCACCTTTTTTATAATTTATGCAAAAGTGCAGTGTAGGCAGAGAGCAGCCCTGGCTGCAGTTCATTACTGGCAGTCTAGAATATAGGCTCTGTATTTCCAGATGTTTGCATTTCTGAAAAGAAACTGGAAATATGCATCTTCATATGTGATCTCCTAATTTTAGGTATAAATGTTGAAACCTCCTGCACGGGCCAGTGAATCCATGCCATCAGGCTTTGTACTGTTACTATGTGAGTCTTTTGTGGTAGGAAAAGGGGGGATGGCATAACACCAGTATACAAGCTTGTTGTTAGAAGGCCACAGGTGAGGGCATTGATAACCCTTGCCTCCTAGAGAATTTCAGGATTAGTTACAGGAGTCAAGGGCCCAGTCAGCCCTAGCCTGACCTATCAAAGCAAACCCTTTTGAACATCTTCTGAGTGTGAATTTCTAGTGTGAATGTCTGTGAATTACTAGCTATATCACCTTGAGCAAGTCATTTGGCTTTTCTAAATATTTATTTAGTTTCAGCATCAAAGAAAACTCTTTTGGAAACTTCTTACCATGATTAAATAGGGCAAATCTATGAAGCACCTGGTATGGCTGTTATCCAATATAGCATTCGCTATTATTGTCAGGACTTGGCTTTGAGCACACACTGGTACCTTCTTCACAAGGATGGGCTGCAGCTGCATTCTTATTCTTTTCCCAGATTATCCCCTTGAGAAACAAAGCCTAACAATCCTACCAATGATTATTGCAGGATTCATCTGTGGGGAGCAGTAACCTTCATCATCACCTACTCTTTACAAGCATGACATAAATAGTCGTATTAAATAACATGAAGGGAACTTGAAGATGATCTGCATCAGTTTCCTCGTTTGCCAGATGAGAAAACAAAGCCTCACAGAGAAAAATTACTCATCCATTGCCACACAGCTAAATATCAACAGAACATGAAACGCAGTTTATATTTGTGTTTTTGTTTTAACGTTGAGCTTGAAAGAAGTGTATGCTTTTAATTGAAACTTTAAAGATTGTAGATATTATTTCAAGCAACACTAAGTAATAAATGTGTTCTTAATTGATTTGACAGTGAAATACAATTTTCCAATCTGAAATAAAATGTAAAAATGAAAATATGTGGCCCAAACCCCACCCCTCATTCTCTACCCCATCTTTGAAGGAAATAGATTGTATTGGAAACATCTTGCATTGGGATGTAATAAAAGTTTATATCTAGCTTTTTTAAGTGGAGGGTTTGCTTTGATGTCTTTTGGGGAGAACCTGGGAACAATATGCTTGTACCTTCCATATGAACATGTTGTGAGGATTAAATGATCGGTGCCTAGTACCTCATTAGTCCTTATTCCATGGTAGCTTTGATTCTCTTTCTTATTCCTGCACCACTGTGCCCTATGCCCCATTCCTGGCCAGAAAAGGTATTATGGATGCTATACTTACACGCTATGCTATGAGCATTTTGGGGTCAAATCAGTGTCTTTTATTTTGTTTAGATCTGGAAGCTAGTACAAGAAGTCACCAAGAACACACTAAGTAAAAGTTTGTTCAATTTAATTGATTTATTATGCTGCATTCCACTGTAAGAATTCAGATTGTGCTCAGAGCACAAATTCATTTACACATTCATTTGTTTATATGTTTATATCCCTACCACATGCTACAAAGGATTTAAGACTACTCAAACCAATAATATAAATATTATTCTCAAGAAACTCAAGTTGTTGTTGCTTAAATAAAAGGCCAGAATAAAACCCTAGCATGTAATTTATGAAATAACTGCCTCCTTGCACTCTGAGAACTGGTGTACTAACTGGGCTTCTCTCAGATGACAGCTCACACACTATATGATGGTTTAAAAGAAAGACTCATGGCCTGGAATCAGAGGACCCAGATCAGGAACTCTGAGCAAGTGAAAGTTCTCCAGGTCTACTTTGACACGACCAGGGTGATTCTTCACCAGATCTTCTGTAAGGTGCTTGGAGGAGCAGAGACTTCATGGGTGGCTTATTTTAAATGTTGCTCTGGTTCTCTTCTAGATAAAATAAATCTCATGACCAGCCCCTATTGGACCAGCCAGTGGGGAATACTCCCATGCAGGCTCCAACATCCAGAGCAATGAGGATTCTTGTCAGCAGGTCTTTTCTTGTAAAGAGATTTCAGAAGGGAACCACTGCAGTGAAGCCAGGTGGAGGCATGAAGATGGGTGGCACATGGTTCTGTGGGTGACATAAGGGACAGGTGATGGCTGAGGACCAGGAACCACCTCTGATGCTAATACCCCATAAGCCCCTTCAGAAACACAGACACAACCACTGAACTGGCTGATTTACCCTAAATTGATCAAAATTAAGTTTCCTGTCACAAAGGGGAATGAAGAGCCCTACATATACATTAAGTTCAGCTATAGGGAAGGTGAGCTTTTGTGCTCCTGAGCCTGTGGACTGAAATTTGTACAACGTGCCTACAATTAAGTAGGTTTATTTATTTTTTTTCTGATTTGTATAGAGACATATGTTCATTATAAAAATTTTGTCTGTCTTAATTGTAACACCTGTTTAGTGAAAAAAAAAATCCTTACATTTTCGTAGAACTGTATCATTTCAATGGTATGTGTGTGTGTGTTTACTGTCTTATTTAGTCCTAATGATAACTTAAAACGATAAGAATCTAGCCTTTTGACTTAGGATTGTCTTGGAGATGCGAGCTCTTTTTTGGTTCCATATGAACTTTAAAGCAGTTTTTTCCAATTCTGTGAAGAAACTCATTGGTAGCTTGATGGGGATGG